ATCTTGACGAAATCCTCTGCTGTTTTTAGCCGCTTCCCGTCGTCCATGCTCATCACCGTCGCACCACTGGACACAGCGCCTTCTCCTGACCAGAATCCCATATCCAAGTGTCGAGAATATTTTATTCTCTCCTTTTATTTTTAGTAAACGGGGTTGGTAGTAGTTCATCCATTTCCTCATCCTTCCTGTTTTTTCCAGACCTAACTATGGCACCCCAAAAAGTCCCGTTTTTTTAGTGTTGCTTCTCTCTAGTTTTTGAGGCATTTTTTACAGCTCTTTCTTTGATCTCTCTTTTTGTCTTATGATGGCAAGTAAGGTGACTAGTCCTTCTGGGAAAAATTGTTTTACGGTGATCATTTTCAACATTCCAGAGCGTCTTCATCATAAAGGGCTTTGGCTGTTATTCGATAAACATGGAGAGGTGGTCGATTCTTTCATCCCTAATAAAAGAAGCAAGGGAGGAAGTAAGTTTGGCTTTGTTCGTTTCACCAGATTGGAGGACGCAAGGAAGGCTATCAACTGTGTTGACAGATCTAGGATTCGCGGTAATGAAGTTAGAGCTTTTTTGGCCAGATTTCAACCCCGGGAAACTTTTTGGAGAAAGAAGTTTTCGGGTTTAAAACCAGCCGAGATCAAGAGTAAAAGGGAGGATGTTGGGCATTTAGAGGCTCCCATTGTGGGTTCTGTTGACGAGGATAAACTGCTAACTTGCAGAGGCAGCTTGGTAGGGTGGTGCAGAAATTTTTTAAAGATGAATGAGTTGGCTGCCATAATGCATAAGGAAGGCATTTTAGGCCCGAAAATCATGAGGCTAAGTGGGTTAGCAGTTCTAATCATTTTTGAAGATGATGAGAGTAGGGATTTCACGCTGAATAATCAGATGGGGGCATTGAATAAATGTTTTGGCAAAGTAGAAGTGTGGTCGGAAAACTTTCATTGCAGTAGCCGTCGGGCGTGGCTTTCGTGCAAAGGGATCCCACCGTTTTTGTGGAATCCCTCCACCTTCAGAAGCATTACAGACAAATAGGGAGAACTTATCTCCATTGACGAAGGATCTGTGAATCCATGTTCTTTTGAAAGGGCTTTGTTTCAAATTATTACAAACCGTCAAACACGTGTGGAAGAATCTGTTGTTTTGAAAGCCGGGGACTTGTTATTTACAGTTTGTATTTCTGAGTTTGAGCCTTGTTTCAGTCCCGATTCAGTCTGGGCAGACTCGTTCTTGATGGATGAGGCAGTTGCTTCCCCGTTATCTTTGGTGGGGGAGCTCGTCGGTGTCTCGCCAGTTAATTCTCCCGTGGTGGAGGTATGTCTTGAGGGAGCTGGCAAAAACGAGGACTCTTCAGTGGAGAAGATTTCTGAGCGTTGTTCTGTGGATGAAGAAAGTCTATTATGTTGTATGGGGGAAAGAGTTAGTGGCTGCTTCTCGTCGGGTGGGGAAGTAGTGGAAAGGAACATAGGGGAGGATTTTATTATGGGCTTAAGGAATTATGCTGTTGGTTTGGGGATTATTCCATCGGAATTCGAGAATGTGGTGGAGCACGAGAATGTGCTGGATCAAGGGGCTAGAGAGTCAGTTTTTGAAAGCAGCGAAAGTTGTGTGTCTGCATAGAGAGAGAATATTGGATTTTTTTGATTCATCCAACTTGGATGGTCGGTTAAAGGCAAAGGTGATGAAGAACGTGATTAACATTATCAAGAGGCGTGCTATTAGTAGTTCCAAGGGTGTGGAGGACCACCAGGATGGGGATTCCAAACAGGTTGAGGCGGTGGTTGACAGGCTGGATGGCAGAGATATATCGGGGTTAGCAGAGAAAGTTTCGGGTCCCCAATTAATGGCCTGATACAGCCAAATCAAGCAGCAGTAGAAGGTTCAATATGTGGGAGATTTGTCTGTTCTGGGAGCCAGATTATGATTCCATTTTTCCAGCTTTGGAGCCAGAGTCTATAGTTTGGTTTTCTGCCCTCTTCGTGTGGATGGAAGCTCCTGGATGTCTGTGTTTTATTTTGGATACTATGGTTTGAGTCAGCTGTCATTTTCTTGTCTCTTTTTTAGGTGTTCTATTTTTTGGTGCTCTCCGAGTCAAGAGTTAGGCTTTTAGTTGGGTCAGTCCTTTAGAGGCTGTTGTGGTTGATATTAGGTTGAGTTACTGTTGCTGCTATGGGGGTGTTTTTTGGTTGTTTTATGGTATTTTGTTTTATGTACGGGGTCGATATCTGAATGTATTTTGGTGTTCTTATGTTCAATGAAATTCTAAGGCACTCTTTTCCTCCTTCCTTTGATTAAAGAACTTCTCTTTAAGTCTCTCTAATCAAGAAGGAGGTTTTTAATGAGGCCTTCATTTCCTATAAAAAAAAACATCTGAGGGAGTTGGAGTAGCTGTTATGACAATTATGACTACCTCAAAATCAGATGACAGACTAATCAAAGTGGGAGTTACATGTTCATAATCAGAAATAATTTCTCCACAACTAGCATGACTATCACATATTAATTTTATTTTCATTGTGAATCCCCTCATGCTCAACTCACCCTTCTTTTGAAAATGAAGAAGCCTTCTATGTGACATCAAATCAAAAAGTAGTATTACTAGCCTATGAAGAGTATTCCAGATTTTAGCAGATGTGTTATGACCAATCAAGTGAGGTAAAATCTCTACTTATAGTGGATAAAAGTCAGGATTATAGAGCTCCACCTTATTCCTCATACAACTCAAACTTAGGATTAATACTAGTAATTTCATTCTGTGTGATATATTGAGCAAACCAAATAATTCTATTATCTATGAATTTTTGTAACCTATTTATTTTAATAATCAACAAAATCTGCTGTTGCCAAAGCAGATAATTGTGATCATTCAATTTTCTTAGTTGAGGACAAAACCTTCTCAGCATTACTAGTCTGATTGTTATAAGCATAAATATTTTGAGTGCCACTTTCAACATTGTTATTTTCTTTAATAGGAATAACCATATTGAAATAGAAATTAGCAAACAATCACCAAAATTACTACAGATATGATAGACAACTCCCAAACTAATTGCAAAACTCCACACATGCATATAAACAGAATAATCAATCAGATCTGAAGAAGCGAACAAGAACATACAGAAGAAAGGAGAGCTATAAAAGATAATCAAAGCGAGCAAGAACACTTTTCACAAAAGCAAAGATCAATTGAAACAATGAAATCATGCAGCAGAAGAACTCATAAGACTATGGATGCAGAAACAACCTTATGCGAAGAGAAACTAGAGAGAAGAAACTCACATATACCAAAAATTAGGTTATCAATTGCGTGATTAGGTTATCGATTGACTGGGCCAACCATCGAACCCCCGACGACAAGTCGTTCATGGCTCTGATACCATGTCAGAAGTATAATAACAATGGTCGAAGATGTACAACCATAAAAGAAAACATGTAAAGGATCAAAGTGAAACTAAACATTACATATGATTTCATTAACTAGAAAGTGAGAGTTTCCGTACAATGAGAGTGAAGGAGAGAATTGAGAAAAATTAAAACTGTATTAGGCCTAATACAATGGATCTGAATATATATAGCCCACCAGATAAAATTAATGAACTAGGGATGTCAACGGGTTGGATTTGGACCGGATCCAACTACACCTAAATCCGTACCCACTTCCACATCCTGGATACAAACCCACCCTTGATTCGTGTCTAAAAAATTAGGACCCAAATCCTGGTTCAAAACAGATCTGTTAAAAAAATGATCATTCAACATATTTTTTAACGTAATAAAATTGTCATTGACTAATTTCACATCACATCTCTAATGGAGGAAAGATTAATTTCAATACAACTAGTAACATAATAAAAAATGGCGAACTAATATCTTAAAAAAAAACTCCAACACAATTACACAAATGTCTTTTGAATAACACAAACATTAAAAAATGTAGATCATAAAACATTCTATTGCCACAAGTTGAATACCATACTTCTACCTCCTTAGAGTGCTAGTCTTCATCACTACTTAAATCATCAACATGCTAAAACAAACAACCAACCAAAGAAAAAAAATTGTTTAATGAAAATAATATTTGTGAAATTTAAATATTAATATTAAGATTATGTAATATAATAACTTTCTTATATACTATGTCAATGATATCTATCACTTCCGCATCATCATCACAATCTTCATTAATAGCGGAAAAAGTTTGTATTCACTCAAAAGTGTCTTTGTCATAAATAAAAAAAAATTACATTAGAAAATAATGTGAAATATAAATTAAAGCAAAGGAAGGGAAATAATATAACAATTAATAAGTGCAAAGTTCAGCAAACCAATAATGATGGATGTGATGTCAAAAAACTTACAAAACTTACAATAACAATAACCTATCATAGTGGCGAAAAGGTGGGTATATAACAAAAACTTATAATAGTGGCAAACAAATAGATAAATCTAAGAAAAAATAATTTTGTTTGGTGCCAAGAATCAAAGTTGAATACCTTAAAATTGCAGAAATCTTCCGACTATCCGATGAGTATATAACAATCTCTCAAAGTAATTGCAATTCAGAAAGAAAGTGGGTATAAAAATCAATCCTATAAGAACTCACGTGTCTCCCTCTATAAAATATTTATATATATTTTAAAACGTATTATGTCATTTATATATATTTTAAAATCAAATGTGGGCTTTTCTATAAACGAGTAAACAAGTCCAGACCCGATATATTAGTGTCAAGTCCAGATCCGGATCCGTACTTTAATCAGAAGATTCAGATCCAGTCTGAATCTGTCGAGTCCAAAATTTTAAGATCCAAACCCTATAAAACGGATCTCAATCTACGAATTCGGGTCGGGTCCAGGATCCATTGCCATCCCTAGGCTCAACTAACTTAAACTAACACAAGCTGTTAGTAACAACCTAGAATATTCTAATATTCTTCTAGATGACCTATTAGAATACTCTAATAAAGCATGCAAAATTCATAAAACTTTTATTCGACCCCAACCAAATGGGCAAAACATGTAACCCATCTTTGGACAATTTATTAATGGTAAATCATGCAAATTGTTAACAAAAAGAGAAAGGGGCATAAACCCACTGAACACAAAGTGTTAAAAGTGAAAACAAATTTGGTAGAAACCAAATCAGTAATATTATATATCCATTAAACATAATCATTAAGAGGAAGTATTAACTGCAATCAAGTAGGTATATAATTTTGCTTCCTTATCAGACATAATGAATTCTAATTGATGGCTATGCACTCGCGCCCTTGCAAGGGATGTCGGTGCAGTGACAAACGGGTCGTCCGGAAGCTTCCCAGCCATTGAAACCGCGCTCCAAAACCAAAATGTTCTTGATTCCGGTATCTTCCTTCAACTCCTCTAGATGATAGGCTAACCTCAGTGCACAAGTTGGGCCACGAACCTGCAAAAGCATCAACATATTCGGTGTTTGAACCAATCCAAGTTTATAGAAAGCTACCATTATCACGTGAGAATAATATGATAACTTGAATCCATCATGAAGACCAGTTTGTATAAGCTTGCAATATTTATGCTGCCATATTATGATAAATCTCAGTCATGGGATCAAAAGCATGCATCTAAGTTAAAAAGCAATTGCAGATTGTCTTCAATTGTATGTGAGCAGGAGTGAAAAAAGAACAGCAGTCAATGAAATAATGCCGAGACTTATTATAAACTACGAGTGCTGCTTGAGTTAATTGTGTTTAGCTGTGTCTTCTGGCTACATAACTGTTGGATAAACTAAAGCGGCAGTTCTAAAGTCTCAAAATTTGAAACAATAAAAAGAAAAACCATGGAGGGTATTAGTAAACAGCATTAAGCTTACGCATGGGTCACTTAATTGTCTCCGCCAACAGTAGAAATGGAATACGCAAAAACTGCAGTCCAGACTCCAGACAGCAAAAATTCTTTTCCAAAGGAACAATGACAATGCATGCACCGAATCGGAAATAAGTCTTTGCGGGGAGCGAGGGTTGAGCCTTGAATAGCTATTTAAAATTCTAACTTAATTCATACATCAGTTTTACGGTCAATGCAGACAAGCTTCCTAACTATGAGACTTTGCTCAATAGAAAGACATACTTCCCAGGAAGAAGGAATGACAGCCATCTCAATCCAAGCCTAAAACATACATCTAGACCTGACACTATCATCCTGAAGAAGGTAAGCACTATGGTTAGCAATCTTAAATATGGACTTGTAGGACAAGATGGAAGTCCAAGCTATTGAATCGGGACAGGCATAGTCAAATACTCGTTGCCAGCATCCATCTCAATACACCTATATGAATCTCTCAACCTACTAAAGGCATAATCAAATACTCTTTGTCAGAAAAAATGCATAGCATAGGCCATTAAACCCACCTTTGCAATCAGGGATCGACCGAAGGGGGCTGGCGGATGTGGTCGACCCTGATAATTTCAAATTCCCATACAATTTAGAGTTTTTCTTTGTATTTTCTATTGATAATCCTGCGTTGGTCCCTACTTGCAATCATTCCAAAGCACATCATTGTGTGTTAAATACTTGTAACAAAGCTAGCTTTCAAATCCTAATCCAGAAATACTTGAAATACCAAACCATAATTTAAAACTTAATAACAAATATAGGCTCCCAAAACTATCAATCTCAATCCACCAAAGAAATTTTCTAATATCCTCTTACATCAAAGAACACTATATTCAATGAAATAGACAGATCAATGGTAAAAACCCAGAAGAAGAAGAAGAAGAAAGTACCTGGCTTAAAGCACAATGAAAAACAAGAGTATCTTTTCCTTTGACATCTTGAATAAGATTGGAGATCTTATCATTGAAACTGCCACTGGCATAGTGCAAGGACCCAGCTATATGACCATCATAACTCCTTTCATCATCCCTTTTATTAACAAATTCCCACAGCACCAAACAAACCCAGATTAAATATCTTCCCAAACAATCAAACGAAAATCCAAATATGCTTAGAAACAAAGGGAATTAACCAAAAAGAGAAAAACAAAGAACTGGACCTGACATCTATAATGGCGATATTCGGAACCCGTTTAAGGGGAAGGAGTTGAGAACCGGTTATGTAGGAGATGGTTTGAGCCATTCGCTTTGCAATACCTTTGCTGGCTCTCTTACAATTTCTTCGTTCTTGTCCGGAAGAGAACCAAAGATTGGATTTTTAGATTTGTTAGGAAGTGAAGAATCTGATCTTGTTCTGAAACTATGTGATTTGGTCGTTGGACTTTGTTTGGAAGTAGGGTTGTAAAATCGGGTAATCGGGTTCAGGTCAGGTCAAATCAGTTCGGGTTATTTTCAGGTTGATTTGACATCAGATCTAGATCGGGTTCAGGTCAGGTCATTTTCAGTTCGGATCGTTGTCAGTTCAGGTCAAAACAGATCAGGTCCGAAGCAGTTAAAAAGCAGGTTAATTTAGGTTCGGATAGACTTCAGGCGGATCTCGTTCAGATCGGGTCACATCATTGGCAGATAAAATTCAGGTCGGATCTCTATCAGATGCGGATTGAGTACAAACCGGGTTAATTTTTATTTTTGGATTAATTATCTTCGTCTTTCACGAACGTTGAATTGCAATTTATAATTGTATATGATTTAGAGTAAATTACTAAGAATATAAATAATCATGGTTCAATTTTATGAAAAATACAAATTTAAGAATTAAATTGAACAAATATGAAATTGCAAATAAAAATTTAAATAAATTAAACAACACACATTGATGAGGGATCAAATCGAAATAATTTTAAATTGTGATGTTGAAATTAATACAAAAAAGTACTAAATTATACCCATTTAAAAAGTTATGGGCCAATTAAAAATATCATTAAGTAAAAAGTATGGATCAATTTCATATGCAAATAAAATTTGAAGGACTAAATTAAAAAAATATGAAATTACAAATAAAAATTTAAATTAATTAAGCAACACACATTGATGAGGGATCAAATTGAAATAATTTTAAATTGTGATGTTGAAATTAATACAAAAAATACTAAATTATACCTATTTAAAAAGTTATGGGCCAATTTAAAAATAGAAATAAGTAATAAGAATGGGTCAATTTCAGATGCAAATAAAATTTGGAGGACTAAATTGAACAAATATAAAATTACAAATAAAAATTTAAATAAACTAAACAACACAAAAGGGATCAAATCGAAATAATTTTAAATTTTGAGGTTGAAATTAATACAAAATGTACTAAATTATACTAATTTAAAAATTTATGGGCCAATTAATAAATAGAAATAAGTAATAAGTATGGGTCAATTTCAGATGCAAATAAAATGTGGATGACTAAATTGAATAAACATGAAATTACAAATAACAATTTAAATAAATTAAACAACACAAAAGGGATCAAATATGAAAAATATTGTAAAATGGACTAAATTGCATTCATTTTAAAAGTTGAGAAAAAAAATTAAAACAACTAATATATATATATATATGTGTAATATAAACTATATAGTTTATATATAAAGTATATGTATTATATATATAAACTATATAGTTTATATATATGTATTATGTATAAACTATATATACAATGTATAAACTGTAATACTATATGGTTTATATATGAACTATTGAACTATATAGAACCTACATAGTTTATATATAAATTATATATGAATTATATATAAACTATACAATTTATATTTATATATTATGTATAATTATAAATAATATATATTGTATAAATTATATAGTTTATTAATATAAACTATATAGTTTATATATATATATATATTATATGGTTTAGGGTTTAGGGTTTATAGTTTAAGGATTATGGATTAGAATTTGGGGTTTAGGGTTTATATTTATATAAACTACATACTATAATTTATATTTATATTTATATACTATATTTTATACTATTTATATAAACTATAGTTTATATTTATATACTATATATATGAACTATAGTTTACATATGAACTATATATATATATATACTAAAGTTGATATTTATATATGAACTATAGGTTACATATAAACTATATAATTTATATACTAACTATAGTTTACATATAAACTATAGTTGATATTTACATATGAACTATAGTTTACATATGAATTATATATATATATATAAACTATATAGTTTACATATGACCTATATATATATACTATAGTTGACATTTATATACTATATAATTTACATATGACCTATATATATATATATACATACTATAGTTTATATTTATATATTATATATTATATATATAAACTATATATACTATATAGTATAATTTTCATATGAACTATATATAAAAACCATATAAACTATATACTATAGTTGATATTTATATACTATATAAAATAATTTAGACTATAGTATATATAAACTATAATATATATATAAACTATATATTATATAGTTCATTAGTATATATAAACTATATGGTATATATAAACTATACATTATATATATTTTCATTAGTATATATAAACTATATATTATATAGTTCATTAGTATATATAAAGTATAAACTATATAGTATATGTAAACTATATTAGTGTACTATATAGTTTATACTTTATAACCTATAGTATATAATTTATAAACTATAGTTTATATTAATGTACTATATAGTTTATATTAATGTTAATTATATTAACTATATTTTATACACTATATTTTATATTAATATTAATTATATTAATATTAATTATAATATATAATTAGTTTAATATTAGTTATAAATAGTTTATTAATATAAATTTTATAGGAATGAAATTGAAAATATTTTCTCCCTCCTTTTTCTCCCGCCTCTCCCCCCCAAACTTTCCCTCCTTATTTTTGGTCTCTCTTCTTCCCCGCTCAACCTCTAAAATAAAATAAAATAAAACAAATGATATAGCGAAAAGTGAAAAACTAATTAATGGCCTTTCGACACCTTGCACCCACTGATAACACCATTAACTGAACCAAGCAAGGTTGCAAGCAAAGCTTTCATCGAGCCTTCAAACTATATTCAGCTGAGTAGCATCTATGGAGGACCCAAACATCGTCGATCAACCGCCACTTGCTCTTCAACTCTGCGGGGGCCTCTTCGATCCAATATCGGCCTTCTTCACTAGATTCATCGGCTGTCGTTAGAAGATAGGCCACCTGGTTTCCCGTTCGAGGTATAAATCGAAACCGACAAATCTGGAAAGCCCCCGCCCTCTGTCGAGCCTCCCAGGTCAAGGAACTGATATCCGATATGCCGGTACCTGATGAGTTGAGCTTTTCGATCACCGTTTCTGAGTCCCCTATATTTCCACTTCTCAGAACCCCATATCAACTGCGAAATGGACGGCAGCAGAAACTTCTGCCATAAAGACTGAGGTAACCCTTAAAACCCTTATCCGACATGCACCCAGGATCTGACCTCTATTGTCTCTAGCTACAACTCATGACCAAGTGACCTTTCATGTTTGTAGATAACAAAATCGGAATTTACCTTAATAATTGGGGCTCGAGGTGCTTGCCAATGGACAGGAGAATGGGGAGAGCCACCATTCAAATTCTTATGCATATCTAAGAAATCCCGACATTGCGAACGAACTAAGGTAACCACTTGAACATTTAGGATACCCAAATAGTAATTAGAATCATAGCAGGCTTACTGATTGCATTACTTGTAAACATCCAATGTAACCAATCTAGCATGAATGACAAGGAAAAATCTCCAGGTCAATTAAAATTTAACGCTACCTAGACTTGTGCCCCGGAAAAGCAATCTCGAATAACATGAATACATGATTCTACAGGTCCCCAACATCTTGCGTTAACACATTAGTAGTTTTTATGATCCTCCTTATTGAATATTAAGTATGTTACTCTTACCTTCACGGTATGCTTGTCATGAACAATGTGATTACATGAACATCTTCTCTGCAGGGATAGCAGTGGTAGAGCTGGTGACTATTCCCAGGATGGAAGGTACCCCTCAGTGGATGCATTCTTAACTAATTAACTTGCCTTATCTGATCTATTTTTTTGTTGCTTGTTTCTAAAATTTCTTAAAAATCCAACTTCTCCTTCAAATCGAAAAGTGGAGACTTTTGATGAATTCATCCACGGTTCGGTTTAAGGTATAAATTTTCGATTCACATATATGGCTTGTATGTTCCAATGGCATCACTTGGGATGATCATGATCAGAGTCTGGTGCCCTTATTGCTCATCTAATATTAACAAAGTTGACGTGCTTATATTTTTACTTGAAAAATTTCCACACAAAATGTGAATTTCTGAGTTGTTTCCTGTAAGTAATAAGCTTGATGATATCCTATGTTACTTCAGATTCTGTTGCTACACCTGCCCCTTCCTTTGCTACTGCTGTTCCTATTGCTTCAAGCAGTTCTGAAATAGACTTCCATGGTGCTTAGGTGGCCTTTGCTGAGGTTGATGCCCATGCTAAATCTGGTGCTATATCCACATTTGCTGCTATTAATCAGTCGACATTTAACCGTAGAAATCAGGTAGATATGGTTTATTTAATCTCAGACATAATTTTTTTTTGTGGGGGGGGGGTCACAAAACTGTGAATTTGGATATGCTGTTCTATTGTAGCCTACAAGTGTTGTCATTTGATTTAAGTGTCTCTTAATTGAAATGACATGGATGGTTAAAATTGAAACTCGCCATGCATAAATATATACGTATATGAGAAGTTCAAGCAATTAGTTTGATATCCTCTTATGTTGAAATATGCAAATTATTTAATCATTTATATGTTGAAAGTAACTTTTCTGGTCCTGTTGCTACACCAGGCCGTAATCATTTATATGTTGCTACAGTAAGGATTTGGTAAAGTCGGAAATGTTTGACATTGTTGGCCATCGAATTCCCTTTGGTTGTACCACTGATTGTATGCTTTCTTAATGCAGGATGCTTGTTGAATCGATGCAACGATGCTTGCTGAATTGGTACATTGATGCTTTCTGTTGCTGTTGTCTATTACTCACTGATGCCTTTGTAAATTATTGTTGTTGGTCTGATTTAAATCAATTTTAGAACCTTATAAATTCTTATCTAAATAGTTACTCATGTTGAATTATGTTGGTGGCATTTTGGCTTTTAAAGCTAGAAAGTTTCCCATAATTAAGCATGTTGGCAGCATTTAGGTATAAAAGCTTGATGATGATATTTATGGTAATATAGTTAGGCTTTTTAGCCTTGTAAACATTAGTTATAAGATCTGAGAGCATTTATTTCAACATAAATTTATTTTGTTTAGTTGATTTTATTGTAATTTTAGTGTTTTCAAGTGTAATAAAATTACCTTCATTTATAAATATTTTTTTAGTATTTGTAATGTTATTCAAGTTTTTAATCTTTAATAAGTCTATCATTTCAATTAATATATTTTGATTTTAAAATTTCAAGTTAAGTTTACTTAAATTATTAATCAATTTTCACATTAAAAGTAAATTAGATTTATGAATATTTTAACTCAGGTAATATAATTTAATAAAATAAAATTCAATAAGATAATATTTAAATTTAATTTATTGATTATAAATAAAATTTATAATATAAGAAATATAAAGAAATTTATAAATTGAAATTAACATAAAAATCAAATTTATAATATATAAATTATAATTAATATAAAACTAAATTTTAAAAAGTAATCATATTAATTTAATTATCATAATAATTTATGATAAAATTTTAAAAAGTAACCATATTAATTTAATTATCATTAATTTATTATAAATTTAAAATAATATAATTATATTATAAAACTTCACTTATAAGTCAGGATAATATTATATCACTTAACAACATGTTGGATCATTTACAGGTTGAGTCAATTACAGGTCAGGTTCATAACAGGTCAGGTTGAAAACAGGTCGGGTAATACCAGTTATTTACCAGGTCAATCTCAGGTTCAGGTTCATATCAGTCGGATGCAGTTCGGGTATCATATTTTCGGTTCAATTCAGGTTCAGGTCGTTCTCAGGTCGGATGCAGGTCGGGTTCAAGTCTATAATTTCCAGGTCCAACTCAGGTTCAGGTCAACACCAATTCCGACTCAAGTCGGTTTCGGATCGTCACAGCGCAGGTCAAAAACAGTTTTAACTCGAGTCGGTTTCAGTCAGTTTTACAGGTCGAGTCAACTTTTTACACCCTTATTTGGAAGACTTCATTTATTTACTTCATTAATTTATTAGTAAATTAACTATTTCACAATTGAACTTTAATGTAATTTTTATTTTATTCACCGTACTTTCAAACCTTTCAATTTATTTACTAAACTTTATACAATGAACTTTTTTTGTCATTACACAGTTAAATAATTAAATGCGTTATGACATGGAAACTTATACTAAAACGAAATAGTTTTGAATCTCTAAAACATTTAAATTTTGACCCAAACGGCGTCTTTTTGGACTAAATAAAAAAATTATATTTTTTCTTCATTTCCCCCTTAGCTCTCTTTATTCTTCTTTTTCATCTTCTCGTTTCCATTTTCCCATTTCTATTTTCTCTCATATGGAAGTTGTGAAAGCATGAAAGGAAAATAAAAAAAAAACGATTATTTGATATTTTCATCCTTTTTATTTTTTCTCTTTTCCCTCTTTATTCTTCTTCTTCATCCTCTTTATTTTTTGGTATTTTCATTTTTGAATTTTAGAGAGAGAACAAAAATGATTTATTGTGATTGTTTGGTTTTTGGAACAGGTTTATAAGAACTCCAATGAAGTATCTTGTGGATTTTGATACAACATAATTAATTTATGGTTTGGTATATGATTTTGGGTGTAAATTTGAGGGTTAGGGTTTTTTTGCCTGATTAATTTTTATATTATTAAATAGAAATTTTATGTGACATCTTATGTGGTTGAGTTTTAATATTAAAATAAGACATGTCAATAAGCTGTTAGTGATATAACAGTAGAGTGACGAAAAAGTTTAATGTATAAAGTTCAGTAAGTAAAATTGAAAATTTTGAAAGTAGGGTGAATAAAATAAGAATTATATGAAAGTTCAGTTAACAAATAGGTAATTTGTGATTTTATTTTTGAGTTTTGGTTTACAATTTAACTCATGAATTATATCATTTTTCACTTTAGTATTTATTTATTTTTGACACTGAACTAAATTTTATAAATTTGATCACTATTTTAATCACTAAAGGGTAAAAAATTAATTAAGAATGTGACGCGGCCTAGTATAATAAAAATTTTAGTTTTCAAAACTTTTTTATTCTATCAATTTAATCTTAATTCAAAATAATTTAATAAATTTAATCCTCAATATTTAAAAGTTCTATCAATTTGGTCTTTAATTTAATTCTAAATAATTTTATAAATTTAACCCTTTAATAAGATAGTAATTTGTGTTATTAGGGATGTAAATAAGACAAGTTGACCTCCATAATTGGTGAGTTTGACTCGACTTGAAAAGTTCAAAGCTGAACTCGACTCGAAAGCATAACAAACTTAAAATTTGCAAGCCCTACTCAAAATCAACAATTGAAGCTTGACACAAAAGCGAAAGAACTTGAACTCAAAATATTCTCAGTTCTAGTTCGATTAAAGCTCAAACTCGAATCTAAATCTTAGATATATGAAAACTTTATACTGTATTTTTATTAAAGAAACAAAAACATATAAATGTTTATAAAATATTTTTTTTCAGGTTGACCTGTCTCTTAAAACAATAAAAGTATTTTGTTATGTTGAACTTTTTGACTTTGCCGAAAACAAATTATTTTGAACACTTATTAGATGTGCAGAGGACATTGGGACATCCACCTTCAATATGGGAGGCTATTAAGTACCATCTCTTGGTAATCCTTTCTTTGCCATTCTTTTGAGAAAGAGAGATATTCTCATAGGGATAATGATCTTATCTTCTAATCCTTGACAAATGAGATGATTTAATCTTATCTTCTGATCCTTGACAAATGAGATCACTAAATCATCTTCAATAGAAACTTGTATGCATGAAATACAAGGATTGGTGCCTTTTCGATTTTTATTAGTTCTGGTACAATGTCTGATTAGGCCAAAACCTAGGCTCAGAGATCATCGGGCAAGGACCATTTATATTACAGGCATTACTCTCTATCTTTTTTGCATACTTTTACCTTTTGTAAACTCACTTAAATGTGTGTGGCATTAGCTTATGTAGGAAGTACCAATTGAAGTTTTCTTGAAGTTGCAGTCATTTTCACTACATGATGTTTGTGCAGAGAATGCTCTTATAAAACTTGTAAACATGGGTTTGCAGATGAGCTTAGTAGCTCTATATATGAGGTTAGACATTTTGTTGCCTTTTGGCACCAAAGTTACTATTGCCTATGACCTACTGGTAAAACTTCCTCAGCACAAAAATGAAAATTAAACTGTGCTTTCAGCAGCCTTGACAAATGACAAGGCCTGTACATGTATTCATGTATCCTTTAAAAGATTTAGAATTGGGAAATTTAATATTGACAATTTCTGTATTTTGTCCTAGACTGCAACCTTTTCACAGGGAACAAACAATTATCCATAACCATGATCCTTATTGGTATTGAAGCTGCTGCAATAACAAGGCAAACTATGACACAGGTGCTTCTGGGAGTTGCAGTGGAGAAAAGAAACAGTCAGGTTAAACAACAAAAGGTCCAGATGAGATTTGACTTGGGGACTCTTTACCCTTTTATCATGTGCTCCTGCATTGTTACTACTCGTATTTTTTTCCTGGGAAATGTTTTGCTTTCATGATGTTCTTGGATACCGTATGAATCGTTGACTGATTCTTGGGATTTGCGCTCTTATGAATGATGATCGTCCATATTTGATATGAAGTATCAAGATGAAGTGCCACAACTGTCATGGCACTCATGCATATCAAACACTGAAGTTCAATCAAATGCTTTTGATATTAAAAGGAATATAAACAAAAATATATAGATAAACTTCTGCTTTTATTAAGAAATGATTACTGAAACAACACACTCAAAACTCCCATGACCCAATATCCCTGGCTTCATCATCTAATTTATCCCATTTCTTTTATTCTCTTCTCTTTTCAGTATTCTTTTTTCTCCCTTTGTATTATTTTTCCAATCTGACAAACTTCAGGAGACCAATCAAAACAATGATGCAGAACTTTTTGGACTTATTCTCTTTTGGAGCCATGCATTAGTATTGTCGGCAAAGTTGGATCCGTCTCAATACCAAGAAAACAAGTGGACAGATAGTAAAATTCTTTCACACGGAGAAGTAAAAAAGAAAAATTGATTGAACTGTTATAAAGTTCATTCACTTGGTCCAACACTCGGGGGTTAAGGCATGGTTCCTTTTGGGGTCCCTGCAATAGTTGTACACCATATGGTATCTTTGAACCCATCTCATCGCTCTACGTTGCTGCCTGGTTAGCCGACCGGACCGGGAAGGCGAGACCGAGACAGGCCGGCACCAAGCCGGAGCATAGGCACTGCAACCGCCTGCTCTGAAGTTGGTGTACTTTGCAACGAACGGTTGGTATCTGTAATCCGCTTTGTATTTTCCATCTTCGGTTGCCCATGATGAGGCATCCCATATTGAACCATACACCCACATTGGCCTTAAAGGAAATGTTGCAGCACTCTTCTTCGGATACCTCCTTATGGGAACATCATCTACTAAGAATCTGATATACAAATATCTGATAAAACAATAACTAGAATACATTTTTAGACAAACGAAATGTGTATGCTTCATTGCAAATGAATACAAATAGTATCATATGATGTTCACCATTCATGTTCGAAATTATTAAATCTGAAAAGTCCACATCTTCCCACCTACCACTTTCCTCCCCATCAATGCCAAGAAATTTATTATAGTTTTCATATTATTGGACATTAGAATATGGCTGACAGTCATTCTTATGTCAATATTAATTAAGGGTAAAGTCTAGTTTTGACCAACATTTCAACTTACATAATCTCTCTAGGACTCCAAAGAATGGCATAGTGGTGAAAGTCTTTGGTAGGATCAAACCAAAGATGAAACTTCATCTCTCTGCCAATGATTTTCCCATCGCCACTCCCTCTGATATACACATTGGTTTGTAAAGTGTAAGGCTTCCCAAATGTCGTTCCAAGGAAATCTATGTCCACTTCATCATGGAACCCTGGATGAGCTTCATTGTTTGATAGCTGCCATTTGTTTGATTTCTGATTAAAAACTGTGCATTAAGAAAGAATTTGAAGCTAGAAATTAGACATGTTACTTCAATTTCTCACATAGAAAGCTGTTATAACCCCTGCAGTATAACCAGGCTGCACTTTAATAGAGGCGCCAAAGTAACCAGAACGAAAAGGCTTAACTGACTTGAACCCACTCCCTGAAAACAAAATACCAAGAGCAACCGAATAAGGAAACAAAAAACCAGATTGATATAAGCAAATATTGTAAAGGACCTGAAGTTCTATCTAGCCAGATTGTTAAGGCATTTTGGTCTACACGTTGATGACCAGGACCCCAAAGATTTCGAAACCCTTTGTTAAAGCTCATAGGCCTGAACTTAGAGCTGGGCCAGTAACCAGGAGAAGGTGGCCAGTCCGCATTGGCTGAAGGAAACAATAGAATGAGAAGAAATGAGAGGAAGATAGCCATGGTGAAGAAGGAAAGAAGGAAAGCCAAGAAGGAAAGAAAGAAAGCCAAGAAGAAAAGAGAGAAAGAAACTTGCTGGGGGGAAAGGTGGAATGATTGGGAGTGTATAAATGGTGGTGTGTGATTTGTGACTTGTGAGAGAGAGAAAGCAACGGGACAAGGTGTAAATGCAGAAAGCGTATGGCATTGGGTAGGGGTGTTTAAATAACCGAATTAATTCGGTTAATAGATCGAATTGAATTAGTTCGGATAATTCGGTTCGATTATCGAATTAGTTCGGTCGATTAACGGTAAAGAAAATTTTTAGAATTCGGTTAATGATTAATTCGATTCGAATTCGATTAATTAACCGAAATTAAATTTTAAATTTTAAATATATTATATATAACATATGAGCTCAGTCCAAACCATTTAAAACTCAATTAATAATTTAAGATCTAATAATTTTTAAACATAAATCAATATTAATTAATTAAAAAAATTATATAAAATTTTTATTTTATAATTATATATTATTTAAATTAATTGTAAACTGTTTTTTAATTAAAAAATATTATATATATTATATATAACATATGGGCTAAGCCCAAACAATTTAAAACCCAATTAATAATTTAAGATACAATAACTTTTAAACCTAAATCAATATTAATTAATTAAAAAATTTATCTGAAATTTTTATTTTATAATTATATATTATTTAAATTAATTATAAACTTTTTTTAATTAAAAAACATTTAATTTTTATATAAATTAAAAAATTTAAAAAAAAAAATTCGGTTAATTCGAAAATTAACCGAAATTTATTCGGTTCGATTAATATATTTGAAAAAAAATTCGATTCGGTTAACGATTAAAGAAAAAAAAATTTGATTAATTCGGTTATGGTTAATTCGGTTCGATTCGATTTTAACCGAATGAACAGCCCTAACATTGAGAGTACAGTTTGATTAAAAGTGGGGGTCCCATGGAGACAGGGAGGAAGTTGATGAATCAAAGGCTTAATAACACTAAAAACAGGCTCAAAACTCAAACACATTTCTCATTCATATAGGGATAAAAACTATGGTAGGGAACAAGCTAAGAAAAGAGGATGAAATGCAGAAAAGAGAGATGGGTGTCTCTTAAATGTGTCTTCTGTTCACCCGCATCTCCAACAGGATCATTCTTGTGCTATTTTTCTTTTCTCATTGAAAGCTGCATGTACCAGTGTCTCCCATTGTTACATAAACTCAAATGCATTGTGTGGTGGGTGTGTTTTTAACCAAGAACCTGAAAGGTTTTTTCACCTGTGGGTCACCTTCTCATTTCAAGTCAAATTTGTGATCCAAAATGTGAGAGGTGTGTTTTTATTTTTTAACATCTGAAAGCGGTTAAATGGAGTGGGGGCATCAGCATCTTTTCTGGGGCCTTTGTGTTAGATTTTGACTAAACATGTTATTGATTAATCGTTTCTGATGCTATTATTTCTGCAAATTTGGTGATTGCTTTCTTCGTACCACAAAGCTTTCAGATAAGTATAATTAAGAAAAATATTCTCAAGTATACAGCAGTGACTCCATTGCAATAAAATGAAGGGTAAACTACCCGGGTGACCACTAAATTGTTGCCAGACTTCATTTTGACCACCAACGTTTCGATTCGATCAATCAGACCACTCAACTATTTAAATACTTCAATCAAACCACTGACCGTTAACTTTTAACGGAGGAGGTAACATGACAGTTAAAAAATTTGATATAATTATAAATTCGGTCCTCAATATTTATACATTATATCATTTTAGTCATAATTTTATTTAATGAAAATAAATTTGATATCCAATTAAATCATGACATGTGTCACTGCCTGATTAGAGAATATTTTCTTAATTTTTATTGATTTAATCTAATAAATTTTCCATGCAATAAGATGATGACACATGCCACCGTCATAATAAAGAGAGAAAATAGAAAGAAAAAAAATCATCCAAAGTCAATAAAGAATAGAACTTAAGACATCACTAATGCCAAGTAATGCCTCAACAACTAGGCTAAGCCTTCAACTTAGATTTATATTGCAACATTCTTTATATAATTTTTACTAGTTAATGACAGAAAAATAAATTGAAATTTCTATCAAAAGGATTCAAACTATGAATTGCAAATATGGATGATACCAAGGTTTCAAATCACGGTCCGAAAACGTGATAGCACCGACGTCCGAATTACCCGCTACACCCGCAATAGCGTCCGCGATGGCCGCAATCACGGTAAACACGAAATGACCGAAAATGCGACCGCGATTTGAAACCCTGAATGATACAACCATATCAATTACTTAAATAAATTTTTTTAGTATGTTTTATATATCGTATTTTTGTTAATTTAATATTATATATTTAATAATTATAATTTAATAATATATATATATATATATTAATTATTTCTTATAATTTAAATTATAAGAATTATTATAATTTATTTAATAGGAGTCATTTCTTATATTATTTAATAAGAATGATTTCTTAATTTAATATTTATTAAGAATTAATTTTTTTATTAAATTATAGTAATAATTTATATATTAAAAATTAAGAATTGTTTGTTCTATTAAATTATATTATTCCATTAAGTTATAATTTATTATATATATATATATAATTATTAATAAAATATATATTATATTAAATTAATAAAAAAATACGAATATATAAAACATCCTAAAAACTTTGTTTAGGTATGTGATTTGGCTTATTGGTTATGGTTGATATTTGTGATTCTAGGTTCAAATCCATTTGTTAGCATTTTCACTTTATTTTGTGTCATTAACTGGAATAGTTATATAAAGAATATTGTAATATAGAACCAAGTTGAAGGTTTAGTTTAGTGATTTAGGCGTTTCTTGGTACTAGGGTTAGGGATGGCAACGGGCCGGGTATTGGTCCCCGTCCCCGTCTCCGTTTAAAAAATCCGTACCCGTCCCCGCTTAAAAAATCACTGGGATTTAAACGGGGATCCCCATCGGGTAATCGGAGAAAACCGCGGGGAAACGGGTATCCCCGTTTAGTATAAACAATTATTTAAACGGGTATCGGGTCGGGCATCGGGCCAGGTATATATATTTAAATTAAATATATAAATATTATATATATATATATATTTAATTTAAATTAAATTTATTAATATTATATATATATATATATAATAATTATTTTTAATATTTATCGGGCCGGATAATTGGGTAATCGGGGCGGGGATTACTAAACCCGTCCCCGTCCCCGTTTAACATAAACGATTTTTCCCCTTCCCCGTCCCCGTCCCCGTTTAGCATAAACGGTTTTTCCCCGTCCCCGTTTAATTCGATTTTCGATTTTCTCCTTCGGGTTCGGGTTTTTTTGCCATCCCTACTAGGGTAGTATTAGGTTTGATTCTTATCAAATGCTCCATTGTATTTTTTCTCTCTCTTTAATATGGTAGTGACATGTGTCACCATCTTATTGGATAAAAAATATTAGATTAAATAAATAAATAAATATTAAGAAAATATTCTCTAATCAGGTAATAACACGTGTCATGATTTAATTAAAGATTAAATTTATTTTAATTGAATAAAATTATGAATAAAATGATATAATGTATAAATATTGAGGACCAAATATATAATTATACTATGTTTTTTATCTGTTAGGTCACATCCTCCGTTCAAAGTTAACAGTTAGTGGCTTGATTAAAGCATTTATATAGTTAAGTGGCCTGATTGATCGAATCGACGATGGTCTAAATAAAATCTGACAATAGTTTAGTAGTCACACGTGTAGTTTACCCTAAAATGAATAAAAATCAGATGGCTACTGCTCGTCCTTTCTTGTAGTGAAGCAAGTCTTCAGGTTGTTATGCATCTTTCTCAGTGAGAAGCAAAGCAATCCACTGCTTTATTTTCCTTTTTTTGTTATAATGACAATGTTTTCTGATGCTCATATAGTAACTAAAAATTTGGGTAAACTACGTGTTTGATACCTAAATTATTATTTTTGATCCGTTTTAGTATTTAAACTTTCAATTTTTTCAAAATCATACCTAAACTTTAGTTTTTATTTCATTTTAGTACCCGTTCAAAATTTAAAGTTAAATTTTAAAAAAATTGAAAGTTTAGGTACTGAAAAGACCAAAACTGATAGTTTAGATACCAAATGTGTTAAGTTTTTAACGGTGGGTACTAAAATGAAACAAAAACTAAACTTTAGGTGTGATTTTGAAAAATTGAAAGTTTAAGTATTAAAACGAACTAAAACTAATAGTTTAGGCATTAAATGTTTAGTTTACCCTAAAAGTTTATATCAATGATACATTTTTAAGGGTAAACTACACAAATGGTCACTAATATTTGAGTCAATTTTATTTTCCCTACATAGTCAAAAGTTACAAAATGGTCACTAACATTATCGTTTTATAACAAAACAGTCACTTACCATTAACATTGTTAACTGTATGAAGGAAGTCTGATGTGAGAGTTAAGGAGTTGATTGGGAACCATTGACCGACCCCTTTGACCCTATTAAGTTCAACTAAACCAAACGCAGAAAACAAAAAGTTCTTTTCCATCAGAGTTTACTCAATCCATTTAGCGTGACTCCGTATGTAGACCTCCTTTCCTTCTGTCCACTCTTCGTTCACAGGGTTCTCAAAGCGGAGGAGAAAGTCTTGCACTACTATTCAAACCCACCCAAAAACGGCTGCCATCTTTTGTTTTCAGAAATAATGTGTATTTGGAAAGATGATGAGGGTCAACGTTTTGATGATGCACCGAAAAGCATGCACAATGCTGAGAAGATGGGCAAACTCAACAAGGAAATGAGATTTTAGTTGTTTTTCGAGATTGTCTTGTGCATTCTAGTTGGACATTTTTTTAACTTGGGATGGTAAAGTTTTATTGCCTTGATTTTCAAAATTGCATGAGCTGAAAAATGGAAAAATTCTCTTATGTTTAGCTACGAGGTACTCCTCCCTTTCTGTAGTTGGACATAAGCTTTATGATTATGTGATTCCATATAGTCAACATGATACAAAATAGATTCTAATTTGTTGATTTGATCAAAGAGTTGAGAGGATAAGGAGCATTCAATGATGCCAAGTGTTGAACTTAAAAAGTTGTTCCCAAACAAGAAGGTAAGAGCAAAAGATATGG